TGAGGCAGGAGAATTGCCTGAACCCAGGAGGCGGAGGTTGCAGTGAGCCGAGATGGCGCCATTGCACTCCAGCCTGGGTAACAAGAGCGAAACTCCGTCTCAAAACAAAACAAAAACAAAAACAAAAAAAAAACCTCTACATGTCAGAGCTTGCTGCTCCAGACCATTCTATTTTTTTTTTTTTTTTAACACAGAGACTGGTAAAAATGATGCAGGGGCTGAATGAAAAGCCACCTCTGCTCCAGTGGTTCTCTAGCTGAGTTGAGCATGCTTGTTACCTGCAGGACTAACATCACTGGGCTCCACCTTGTTTGTTTATTCAATAAGTTTATTGTGGGACACAAGAAGTTACATTTTATAAGTTCCCCTGTGATGCTGCTGTTCTACTTATGGAAACCACACTTGAAGTAGTTCTAAATTCAGCTCTACATTGCTGCAAAAGAAAAAAGTCAGTGAAGATTTACGAAGAATAAGTGTATGGGACTTCACATGAGTTCTCCTTACTGAGATTGTTAGTTTGATCCCTCTGGTTCTTTTGTTGTAAACATTTTCTATAATTAGGAAATGCCATTTAAGAGTGAGAGAGGTGTATATATATATATATATATATATATATATATATATATGCCATTTATTGTGTTTGGTGTTTTACAAGAACTGTGTATATTTCATTCTGTACAGTTTTAAAGTGAATCATGATTTGCAGGCTTTTTATCAGATCACAAAAAAATCAGCCTTAAGCATTTGCTTGGTAAGATTTCTTAAGATTAGGTTTATAATACAACCATCTGTAATGTATCTCTCATTTGAGGTTGTGGGCCATAAAATTCATTAACTAGATGAATACATTGTGGACAGCATCCTCACTACCCTTCTCTACTCACAAAGAACCACAATACACTGGAATGTTTTCCTTTGGAATCTGCTTTCTACTCTTGTATTAAATTTTTCCCCCACTTAATGATTATGTTCAAAATAAACAACTACATCACCATTACTTCCTGTCTTTTGCTTCTGTTGTACTATATTTGGAATGTAGATGTTCTTGGGAAAGTCAGACTAGATCAGAGTTACTCTTAAGTTTTGAAAATTAATGTCTTAGAAGAAACTCATTCATGTTTGCAACTTCTTTATCTGTTTAGTGTTGAAAGATGGACATTATCAGACACTGAGCATTTCTCAATAACTAAAATAAATAAAAGAAAGATGGACAAAAGGAATCCTTGCCATGTTTCACATTTAACAAGATTCGTCCACTTTAATGCATAAAACCCTTTCAAATCAGTGTCAACCAGGAAAATTCATGTCAGAAAAAATCAGAATGAGAGCTAATATTCTATATTCAGAACATCTGAGAAAACATTTTTGACTATTACAAAAGTTTATTTAGCAAAAAGTCTAATATGAAAATGTACATGACCTAATTTTTACATCATAGTAAAACAGGCCCTATGGAGAGAGGAGGACATGGGTTTCTCCGCTGAACAGCCATTATTTATACTCGTTCCAAGGCTTCTAACATGATGATACTATTTCCTCGTATTACCTAAGAAAGAGAAAAGTAAATCTGAAAAGAACAACTCATGTCACAGACATATCAATGATGATTTAAGAATTTTCACCAAATCATTAATGGTTTTTCAATATTACACGTTGGTTTTTAAAGCTCTGTTCAGGCAACAGGGACACCAAACACAACTAAGCCCTTTATAAGAGGGACATCTTCTAGATTGAAGGCTAACAATTAGCTTTATGAGATTCTAATGTCAGGTCTCCAATGACTAATTTCACCTTTTTTTTTTTTTTTTTTGAGAGACAGAGTCTCACTCTGTTGCCCAGGCTACAGTGTAGTGGCACAATCTTGGCTCAATGCAGCCTCTGCCACCTGGGTTCAAGCAATTCTCCTGTCTCAGGCTCCCAAGTAGCTGGGATTACAGGAGCCCCCGACTATGCCCAGCTAGTTTTTGTATTTTTAGTAGAGATAGGGTTTCACCACGCAGGCCAGGCTGGTCTCAAACTCCTGACCTCAAGTGATCTGCTTGCCTTGGCCTCCCGATGTGCTGGGATTACAGGCGAAAGGTGCTGTGCCTGGCCCTAATTTCACCTTTTAAAATGCAGGACTCAAATTTAAATGCCCATCCCTGACTCTATGGGATCTAAAAAATGAATGAGAAAAATACGTACAGTAGAGTGTGTTAGGTACAGTTTGGAGGTATAAGATCACTTAGGGAACAAACCAGGATGGGAAATCGTGAAAGGCATGCTCTATGAAAATGACATCTTACCTGGGTCATGGAAATTGAGTACAATTTTGAAAAGGAGATAGGAAACTTTAGAACCAAGATAAAGACAAAGTATAAGAGGATAAGGAAGTAATCTAATTTGAATGCACTGAAAAGTTCATGAAGAGAGGCAGGAAACAAAGATAGTTGGCATTCAATCTTGGAAAGCTTCAAATGCCAATCTTAGTGTTTGGAGGACATCAGGAACTAACAATGAGCCAGTGAGTTTCACATTTGGGGGAATGACAATTCTAAGTGTCCTGGCAACAACATATTACATAAATACACCAAAGTTTGAGTAGGACAGAACCTAGAGGCAGAAAGAAGTTATAAAGAAAGGGCCCAAGAGAATAGTGCTTGACCCAGTAGACAAGCCGTAAATTATGAATACTTATCTGGGCCTGGTGAGGTGGCTCACACCTGTAATTCCAGCACTTTGGGAGACCATGGCGGGTGGATCACCAGAGGTCGGGAGTTGGAGACTAGCCTGATCAACATAGAGAAACCCCATCTCTACTAAAAATACAAAATTAGCCACGTGTAGTGGCATATGTCTGTAATCCCAGCTACTTGGGAGGCTGAGACAGGAGAATCACTTGAACCTGGGTGGCAGAGGCTGCAGTGAGCTGAGATTGTGCCATTGCATTCCCGCCTGGGCGATAAGAGTGAAACTCCGTCTCAAAACGAAAACAAAAAAACAAAAAACTTATCAGAGTATAGCTGAATCAGCTGGTAAATGCATTCAAGAAGGCTAGGGGACTGAAAACAAGAAGTCCCTAATAGACAGTAGATCACAATAATTGATAGATCACCCGTAAGTCAAGTAGAATTGGATAGATGAATGGAGGGGTAGGGGAGGTAGAGGATAGGTAATAATTTGAGGTGTTTATTAGAAATGGAGGCATTCTAAAAAGATTCAAAGTGGAGCTATGCTTATAGGCAGCTAGAGTAAAAGTAGTTGTAACTTGTTCTTTTCTCCCTGTATCATGCTTGTTTTATTTACAAATACACTATGATTTATCGTGTTCTCCATGCAAATGTAAACCTTATGAGGCAAGGACTTTGGCACAAAATCCCAGTGCCCAAAACAGTAGCAGGCACACAAAGGGTTCAAGTACCTGCTAAATATTAATAAAAGAACTCACATGATATTACTGCAGCTGAGACAGAATAGAAGGGAACATTATTGGTAGGAAAAGTGTCTTGGAATCTGGCAGCCAATTATCAGCAACCAGTATGATAAGGTAGCAAGGAACAGATTTAAAAGAGAATGGCTGGGCATGGTGGCTCCCTCCTGTAATCTCAGGCCCAGGCTCCCTTTGGGAGGCCCAGATGGGTGGAATGCTTGAGCCCAGGAGTTCAAGACCTGCCTGGGCAACATGGCGAAATCCTATCGCTACAAAAACTACAAAAATTAGCCAAGTGTGGTAGTGCACACCTGTGGTTCCAGCTACTTGGGAGGCTGAGGTGGGAGGATAAACAGCCTAGGGAGGTTGAGGCCGCAGTAAGCTCTAAGCTACTGCACTCCAGCCTGGGTGACAGAGTGAGACCTGTCTCAAAGCAACAACAAAATCCAATGAGAACAATGCCCTTCATTTTCCCTCCTAAGAAAAAAAAAAAAAAAAAAGCGCAATGCCCTAAAAATGACAGTGGCAACTGAAGGGGTCTAAAGATTCATACTCTTCTTATAAGTTAAGAATAGAAATCCCTCTCCATTTTTTTGACTGGGACTAGCTATGCTGACCAGGCTGCAGTGCAGTGGCTATTCACAGGCACAATCAGGGCACAATGAAGCCTCAAACTCCTAGGCTCAAATGGTTCTCTTGCCTCAGCCTCTTCAGTAGCTGGGACTACAGGCGCAGATCACCATGCCCAGCATAAACCAGGAGTGGAAACATGCTTACATAGTTATCAGAATTTTATTTTCATTTTAATGAATTTTTTTTGAGACAGGGTCTTGCTCTATTACCCAGGCTGGAATGCAGCAGCTCAATCACAGCTAAACTATAGCCTTGACCTCCTGGGCTCAAGTGATCCTCCCACTTCAGCCTCTTAAGTAGCTGAGACCAGAAGCATGGGCTACTAAGCCAGGCTAATTTTTAAATTTTCTGTAGACAGGGTCTCACCATGTTGCCCAGGCTGATCTCAAACTCCTAGTCTCAAGTGATCCTCCTGCCTTGGCCTCTCAAAGTGCTGGGATTACACGTGTGAGCCACTGACCTGGCCAGTTATCAGAATTTTAAATTCCCCATTTTTGGCAATAGATGTTGAACATCACATCTCACTGGCCAAAGCAAGAAAAGCTAGCCTTCCTTCCTAGCTTCCTGCTAAATCTATATACTTCTGTGTCTTGTCACCTAATATTTAGAAAATAAGGCTAGATGGTGAACTTTGTCTCACCTTATCTGTGGTCCAAAAATATGAAATGTATAATTCCAGAAACAGACAATCCCTAAGTTTTACATTGCATGATGTTCTGAGTAGTGCCATAATATCTCATACTGTCCCTGAACATGGATTATCCCTTTGTCTAGCATCTCCATGCTGCCCATTCATCAGTTATCTCAGTTTACCAATTGACTGTTGTGGTATCAAAGGGTTACTTGTGTTCAAGAAAAGAGTCAAGGTTTACTTAGTAATAGCCTGAAAGTATAAGAGCAGTGATGCTGGCAATATGGATAGGCCAAAGAGAAGCTGAAAAGTGTTTCCTTTAAGTGAAATGGTACAAGTTCTTGATTTAATAAGGAAGGAAAAAAAATAGTATGAGACTGCTAAGATTTACAGTAAGGATGAATCTTCTATCTGTGAGATCGTGAAGAAGTAAAAAGAAATTCGTGCTTACGGTTCAGTACTATCTGTGGTTTCTGGTACCCACTCTGAGGATAAAGGACTACTATAGTGCTCTTCCTCTTTTGCCACTGTGTTTGAGGCTTAATTCTCCAAATCAAACTTGAACTATCAGGTCCAGAATTACGTACTACTCCTTTTGCTGTGCTTCAGTGATGCTACAGAAGCACAGCTCTAGCAAGAGTGCCTGAACTATGTAATATAATAAAATAAAATTCTAGGGATGTCTCAGAAGACAGCTGAGATTTATGATTAGGTAAGTATCCAACGGACAGGTTAAAAACAAACAAACTCCTGAAAACACACATCCTCTTTCTTTTTGAGTGAGGATCTTGCTTTGTCACACAGACTGGAGTGCAGTGGTGTGATCTCAGCTTACTGCAGCTTCGACTTCCTGGGTTCAAGTGATCTGTCTCAGTTTCTTGAGTAGCTGGGACTACAGGTGCACACCGTCATGCCCGGCTAATTTTCTAAATTTTTTTTGTAGAGATGAGGTCTCACTATGTTGCCCAGGCTGATCTCGAACTCCTGGGCTCAAGTGATCCTCCTGCTTCAGCCTCTCAAAGCACTGGGATGACAGGTGTGAGCCACTGTGCCCAGCCAACACATACATATCTGCAATAAAACAGTATTTAGTAATTTCAATGGCCTCAATGGATCACTGACTTGGATAAGGTAATAATGAAGCCAATTGTCCTTTGTCAAACAACTTTTAACAAAATGAACAAACTCTTAACCTATTTGTTTCCCTTCTTCCAACTTTAGCAAAAAGTTCCTCTCTGTTCTTGCCTTTTTTTTTTTTTTTTT